CCGGACTCCGAGACTTTGCAGACCTTGTGGGCTCAGACGTACGAACACCAAACCCAAATCAGCTCCATCCACAATACACTCGCCCGGATCGAAGGACTCCTCTTAACACCCCATCCGACTAATCCAAAAATGACTCTGGACTCCGAGCTGAGGGGCACCAAAGCCTCCCAGCACGCCCCGAGTCGATCCGAAATCACCCCGTGTTCCCGTTTGAAGCCCGCCTCTCCCCCAATCTTCGACAGAAACCGCAAGGATGGTCGCGCATTCTACAACACGTGCTCCATCTACTTCCAGCTCTGTCCGGACCACTTTCCGACCGAGCAGGCCAAAATCCTCTGGTGTCTCTCCTTCTTCCAGAAGGATCGCGCCAAGGAGTACGCGGACATGGTGCTCCGGAGTCCGAAGGATCCGTACTTCGAATCCTGGGCTGCCTTTGCGACCGAATTACGGACTCGCTTCCTTCCGGATCGGGAACGCAAAGCCGCCATGCTCAAGCTGGAGTCCACCCGGTACCACCAAGGCCGTTGGACTTTCCAGGAGTACCTCGACGAGTTCCGGGACCTTGTAGACCAGTCCGGATACACCGAGGGCTCCAACATCACGATGAAGTTCCGCCGCGGATTGGACTCCATCATCCAGAGCCGTGTTGCCGAGTCCGCAGACTGTCCGGACGAGGATGACTTCGAGGAATGGTACAAGGCAGCGCAGCGGGTTGCTGACAACCGCACTGCCAACCAGTCCTTTCACTTCGGCGTGCACTCCGGAAACTCCGGACACTCGGGACCCCTTGTCCAACCAGCAGCCAACTCCGGAGTCGCTCGGACTCCTGCGGGTGTACTCCCCGCGCATCAGACTCAGCTCCCGCCTCTGCAACCCCGTTTCCAACCTCCGCCCCCTCCGAAGGCTCTCTCACCCGGCGTCCCCATGGACGTTGACCACACCCGCTCCCAGCCCGCCGCTTCGCAGCTCTGCTACCGATGCGGAAAGCCTGGCCACATGTCCCGTGAGTGCCCACTCCGGTACGATGTCTGGTTCATGACCACCAAGGAGCGGATGTCCGCCATCGAAGATCTCTTGACCGCGGCAGATGTTGTAGAAAGTGCGGGGACTTTGGAAGGAATAGACGATGAGGGAATGGCCCCGGTTGAGGAATCGGACACGGTGGATTTTGTCTGGACCAACGAGTGATCAGTGCGACCTCGTTGGTAAATAACCGATTTGCTTGTCTTAGCGTAGACGAAATAGACGATTCCAATCACTCCAATGATTCGTCCAACGTTAAGCAAGCAACTCCGGTTACAATCCGCACACTCCGAAGGTTTCGCCTGCAGTGGGAATGGCGGCTACCCAGTAGCTATAAGATCTCCACGCTGCCCGGCAAGCTTTTGCTAGATATACCTGTTGAAGTGCAGAGCACGGATACACAACACCGATGCACCCTGCAGGCCCTGGTGGACTGCGGAGCCACCGGAGTCTTCATGCATCCGTGCTTCGCTGATGCTCATGGTTTCACCTGACACAGGCTGTCCGCTCCAATCCCGGTCTTCAATGTTGATGGATCACCAAACGAAAACAGATCCATTTCCGAAGTCGTGGACCTTGTACTCCGGTTCAAGGATCACACGGAACGGATGCTTTTTGCGGTCACTAACATTGGTCGGCAGGACATCATCCTCGGATACACCTGGCTTCGGAAGCACAACCCCGAGATCGACTGGCAGACGAAGGAGGTGACCATGAGCCGCTGTCCGTCCGGATGCGATACCTGTCGGAAGGAGTTCCGCCATGACAAGCTGACCCGACGCAAGGAGTCCGTGCGGCTCCGGGAGTGTCGTACGGGTCCGATGCCAATGGTCAAGGAACTGCACTCGGACGATCTCCTGCAGCTTCAGGACTGCGAGGACAATGATGAGGACGATGAGGCTACAACTCCGGATGACTCCGGACTTGAGAAGGGTGACCGTATCTTCGCAGCCATTCCTCCTCCGGCTCCAGAGTACCTTTGGAGTCTTCGGGAAGAACACGTCCGAGCTTCGGAGACGGTCTCGCAGCGCCTCGCATTGGCTTTCCAGTGCAACAAACCCCACGATCCTCGGAACAGCGCAGTCCCAGACTTCCTTCAGGAATTTGAGGACGTCTTTGTGAAGGAGTCCTTTGATGAACTGCCCATGCCGCGTCAGTGGGACCACGCCATTGAGCTACTGGATGGAGCGGAACCGACCTCTACCAAGTGCTACCCGCTGTCCCCTGCGGAGCAGAAACAGCTGGACGAGTTTCTGGAAGAAAATCTCCGGACTGGTCGGATCCGCCCCAGCAAGTCGCCCATGGCTGCCCCAGTGTTCTTTGTCAAGAAGAAGGACGGATCGCTCCGCTTGGTCCAGGACTACCGGAAGCTCAACAACATGACGATCAAGAACCGGTACCCGCTCCCGCTCATCTCGGACTTGGTAGACAAACTCCGGAACACTCGCTACTTCTCCAAGCTCGACGTCCGGTGGGGTTTCAACAATGTCCGGATCAAGGAGGGTGATGAGTGGAAGGCTGCGTTCCGGACTACGCGCGGACTCTTCAAACCGTTGGTAATGTTTTTTGGACTGACGAATAGCCCATCCACCTTCCAGACCATGATGAACGACCTCTTCCGGGAGCTCATTACAGAAGGTGTGGTCATTATCTATCTGGATGACATTCTGATCTACACCAAGACACGCGAAGAGCATCACCGGGTCCTCAAACGAGTCCTAGAGATCCTCCAGCATAACAAGCTCTTCCTCCGGGCAGACAAGTGCGACTTCGAGCAGACCAAGGTGGAGTATCTCGGAGTCGTCATCTCCGAGGGTAAGATCAAGATGGACCCTGTGAAGGTCTCCAGAGTCGCGGACTGGCCGACCCCTCGGACTTGGACTGAACTCCAATCCTTCCTTGGGTTCGTCAACTTCTACCGCCGCTTCATCAAGGACTACTCGCATATCGCCCGGCCTCTCTTTGACCTCACTTGCGCGAAGGAATGGCAGTGGAACGACTCCGCTCAATCCGCATTTCTTCGGATCAAAGAGCTGATCACTTCGGAACCTGTTCTTGTCTTTCCGAAGGAGGATCAGCCGTACCGGGTTGAGGCGGACTCGTCGGACTACACTACGGGTGCGGTCTTGTTGCAGCTGGATCTGGATGATGGTAAATGGCATCCTGTCACATTCTACTCTAAAAGTCTACAGGCTGCAGAGCGGAACTACGAATGGTAAGGACGACAACAAGGATGTGGTTTTACTTAAACCGTCCTACTTTGCCGTCTGTGCCACGGGTGTCACTCTTGAAGGGGAGGAGAAGGATATCCTCACGGCTATCCGGACTGGAGTGCGGAATGCGAAGTTCGAAGATGCAGTGGCAAAGGCAGCAGAGGAGTTGAAGAAGGCCCAGGGCAGTCGCAAGACAGTCCGGAGCGCGGAATGGTCTCAATCGGACGGACTCCTGATGTTCCGGGGTAAGATCTACGTTCCGGACTCACCGGAGTTGCGCCGGACTATTGTAGCTCAGCACCACGACACCAAGGTCGCAGGACACGCCGGCAGATGGAAGACCCTAGAGCTCGTTTCGCGCAGCTACTGGTGGCCCAACATGTCCCGGTACGTCGGATCCTACACCCGCCACTGCGATCTCTGTCTCCGGTGTCACACTCAGTGGGGTTTCACTGAAATGTTTTGGATGTAGTCGGATCAGTCTAGATAGATCGGACAGTCACCCAAGTTGCTGCAGGCTGAGGTGTGTTATTGAAAGAATATTCACTGGGATTCTACAAGGTAGTAGAAAGGGAAATAGGGGATGGATAGGGATAGGGGTAGAAAAAGAGTGTAGGCTAGAAGTCAATAATGGCTTCACGAGGATGAGGAAGAAGGATAGAATACTATACAGTACTAAAGATAAGTTGAAATGAAGTATGACAATAAGACTATGATGAGGAAATATTCTTTCCCTAGGATACATTGTATGACTCCGCAATGAGACAAAACTATGAAGCTCTAGATCAGACGTTTCTGCTAGATCACTTCCGAAACTGAAATAACAATAAGACACCCTGCAGAATTGTTCTACAGTCTAAATGTCCAGGTTACGACAAAACAATATGCGGTGGAATCAATACACAGGTATCCAGAATAATGTAGACACAAGCTACCAAATTACTCTGTTTGCTAGTAAAGAATGCTTTCACTGATCTGAGTACTCAATTATCAATATAATCAAGACTACTAATACAATGAGACTATACAGAAGTTCTATATAGAGGCTAGGATAAGGACAAACTTTATCCTACTATGCTGAAGGAATTCATTCTCAGGGAACAGCTAGATCAAAGAGAACTAATAAATTGAACTTCACTTCGCATTGCATTGCATTGCATTGTGTTGCATTGCGCTGCGTTGCCTATCTATCTACTACAATTTGGGGGGTATTTATACTCTACGAATACTAAGGCTGTGCAAGGATCAAGAGTAGTAGGCTGTGCAAGGCTGTGCTAAAGCTATGCCAAGGCAGTGCTAAAGCTATGCTAAGGCAGTGCTCAAAACCTATTTCATCAGTGCCGAGCCTAAAACCAAGTACTTGCTTTATAATTGCTTAGTAAGGAAGAAATCAAATTCTTCTACGTTCCAGAATATTCTTCCAAGTTCTACAGGTTACCGTATTGTCCTACAGTCTCCTATAATCTTCTTCAGCTTGTCTGAGTGAAGTGTAGTAATTGGTTGAATAATCCTGATGTAGGAGTGAAGGATAGGAGTAAAGGGAATTAAAGGGGCTTTGGAAAAGGGTAATGTAAAGTAAAATAAAGTCTATGACCATAACACAAGATCCATAGGACTTGATTCAACTTGCGAGGTGATGTCTATGGATTATAGCAGTGTATGAAGGAAGGTATAAAACACTAATATTCATGTCACTTACTACAAATCCCAATTTGGAGTATGACATCTGCAGGCAACATTAAATCAATCGTCCCCGATTGCCAACTAACTCTTATTTATCTTGTCCACAAGATGAAATAGAGTACAAATAGCAGTCATAAGATAGCATAAAAAACAACAAAACATGCACAAACTACTTGTCAGTCGTATAAACAACATCTACTGTATACTCGGTATTAGTTACTCTAGTAACTAAACTTCGTGCAAGCTCGAAGTCTGTCTCCGGAGCTTCATCTACTCCTACCTGTACAAATAAGGCAGCAATATCATGAAGGACGACATGAGAGTAATGAACCCATACTGCGACAAAAGTTATAAGTCCACATTTATCTTCATGACTTCGGAACGAAATCAATATCTGGAGAAAGTGTCCAATCTGATTGATTACTCCCTGCGCAATTCCTACGCCTAGGCGGGGATGAAAGAGAAGGTCGCTAGCAGATATTGGAGCTCTCTTTGCTTCAATGATGACTTTATAAATTGATCGAGTGACGGTATTTTGCATGGTTTCGATGAGAATGGTGTTGAGATGCGATGGTGGGTTCACCAATTGTACCCACTTCTCCACGTTAAGATCATACTGAACATCGAAGTTGCTGGGGAGATTGTCGAGAAGAGTGAAGTCGCAATAACTTCTAAGTTCTGAGAGGAGGGCATCGTCGGAATTTAGGGAAAATGGATCTGACGAGAGGCTGGGGTCGTAGGTGGCGATGTATCGTGACCGAAAGAAGGCTCCATTTCTGGTGAGGACGGCAGGAATGATAGAGAGGGGAAGGTTCTGCGTAATCGAGGTGGTAGCCATTGTTCGCGGAGTAATATCGTGGTTCGTTTTGAAGACTTGTCTGTTGAACTGGGATACTACGTGGCAGTTATCACGTGAGGTAGCACATGGCTCTTCTGGTCATAGGGGTTGCATCTAATTGCAGATCGTGTTCCTTGATTATCTTGAATTTATCTATTTAATGTTACTTCTTCTGGCTGATCAGTGGTATTCGGGAATTTATGACAAGACCTGCTTCATTATAGCGGCATAGAGTCGGAAGTAGTGAGATTAGATTTTTCTACTAATGGTGGTAGAATGACTCGAGAGGTGCAGGACGATTTCTGGAGCATGCCAGGCTAGGGTACTTATACGTCTTTATTCATATGGGACTATGAAGATAGTAACGTGGGCAATTTTCTATCATCTTCTGCTAGTTGGTGTGTCTCGGTTATTAATATCTCTAACTAGACTTTCCGTATTTCTTTTCGGTGTTTCTCTATTTGTTCTAGATGAAGACAATTCAATCTGATCATATCTTCTTGAACTGACTGATAGGCGTAATGTCACATTTGCAGGCAACATTTTCATAAACGTCAGTGCAGGCAACATCAAATAGGAACTATCTATATCAATCCGAAGAAACATATAACGAGGAAAGGCATATGACGAAAGAAGGGGATTACGTGGAAATTCTATGTGACGGTAGAAACCTTATACATCATATAGTATAAATTTCCTACGTAAAATCCATTCCTTGAGACTTTGAAGACGAACGTGCCATGGTAGAATCAAGTGCCAGGTAATAAACCATACCTGTATCTCTGTAACAGGGTTTTCGTATTCTTCATGTAATGATCGATGAAGACGAACAGCGACTGACACATACTTTCCACACATTACTTTATGCCTGATGATATGACCTAATCCCATTCCTTCCACCCAAATCGAATCTCCAATTCTGACTCTTCTGTCAGGAATGAAAAGATGCTGATGTTCACCGTGTCGCATTGTTACCACTAACTGAGGGTATACAATAGTGAGGGATTTGGATTCCTTTCTCGAAGCAGGAGGAAAGGTGTGTGGATTATTTGGAATTTCTGGAAAGGTGGGCTCATCCATATGCTGAGAGTGTACCGGCGTGGGTCGATAAACTGGTGGGGGTGGCGGCAGAATCGTTGGTGCTGGTGGTATTGATATCAAATGAGTGCGGTTTAAACGAGTGGGCGGTATGTCTTTAAGATGGGTGGTAGTGATTATAGTGATGTCTGTTTCACTGATTGAATCGTGCGAATAGGACGACATTGCTGGTATGAGGATGGCAGCGTATTGAGATGGTGATGGAAAGAAAATTATATGGTTCAATTTCCATAGCCGAACAGGGTCCTAGTACATTGCTCGCAAGCTACCAAATTGAAAAGTAGTCTGGTAGTGCTTCTACTATGCATTTCCTAATACCTAGTCATTATTATATGACTGGGGAATACACAGTCTTCACAATCGTAGTAGTCGCAGTGAAAGAGTGGAGGATGAGTTCTGGTCTCATTCTGATACTATCATCTTTATATATGCAAAGCTGACGGACTCTGAATGATAATAAACGGTAGATCCATGGGATATTCAATAGCTGAATAGTATTCGGCATAATGACGGCTTATCCTAGGATGACTGGACTGAGGCTGAGTGTTAACTTGGATATAATCTCATCAATGGTGTCATTATTTTATTAATATCTTTCCAAGATATCAATATCATTCTTATGCCATCTGACTTCAGACAATATTCCAGTCAAACACTCATACCATTAGAGAACTAAGACATGATATCTAAGCTCAATGGGTAGGTAAGATGGAAACAAAAAAATAGGTAAGAAGGGAGAAGAAATATAAGTGATAGTCCAACAGGGTATGTATCTGTTGTATATGAAGAAGAAGAAATATAAATAATAGTCCAACATGGTATGTGCATGCTGTATATAGTGGGAGACAGAGGCAAATGTCCATACATATATCAAGAAGAGGAGGAGAAGGAGTAGTCCATACCAATAGTAGAGTAAATAAAAGAGGAAGGAGATAAATAACAACAGAGGAATATTTTTTGAAGGTTTTATGAAGTTAGAGAGGAAGTTAGAGTGGAACTGAGACGAAGTAAAGGGGCAAGAACAGGGGAAACAATAAATAGGGGGTTCGAAAGGGTGACTGCACCTAAAGATCTTCCAATTGGTCGTCGCGCCAGGAGATTGCACGGCGATTGCCTTGACCATCGAACATATAGTCGGGGTCGAGGTATCCTGCAGTGAATAGAGTACGAACATGGGATGAGAGGAAGTAGGTGACTTCGCGAAGGTGACGAATTGAGTTAGCGAACTGGACGCGACCTAACATGTGGTAGAATGAGCTGATATGGTGGAGGAACTCGTCTTCGTCGGTTGTTAGTAACGGATTTCGAGGTGGTGCGGGTTCGCGTTCAATGAGAGAGTCGGGTCGTCCGTAATCTTGGTGTATACATTTGCGGGAGAAACCTTGAAAGATAAGAGGGGTAGCGGGGTCGAGGAAGCGGAAGAAGGCGCAGTGATGGTAAAAGAAGTGGCGGGTATCGTCGCGTGTTTCTGAGTCATCGATAAAATCGCGGAATGAGCTACCCATAGTGTAGTCGATAAGTCCTCGAATAAATACCATTATTTCGAGTCGGATACGGCGCAGCATAACTATCTTGACGTTCCATGGGTTGTAGGAGATAAAAGGGTCGCGGGCTTGCCATGGATTCTTATAGTTATCGATGTAGTATAAGTTCGCCGAGTTTTCGAGGTAATCTTGAGGTCCCGTTGGTATATCGAAACACAACATTGGATTCCCATCGTTTGCTTCAAGTGGTACGTCTTCGTGATTGATTTCGCAGGCCAGACAATTGGTTAAGTTTTCGATATGTGGGTAGAGGTGGTTATAGGTAGTCTGGACGTGTTCTCGTGCGTAAGATATGAGATTAATTGGTCCTTCGACGTCGTCCCAATACTGTGGTTTGAGCAGAGTCTGGCGGGCGGCCTCACATATGTCAACGACAGATTGCGATATATCAAGATCGCCGTCGTCTAGCCATCTCTCGCAGAGTGAGTCGTCTGGAATGGTGAATTGGTTACCCCAAACGCGAAGGGGATGGTTGTCACAATAGCCGTCATATCGAGTCCAAGTTCGAAGTCGTTCAAAGTGGGAATGGTCTTCGCGCCAATATGGGTGATGGTATGGTGGTTCCTTAGTGAAACGAGGCTCAGTGACTGTGATCTTGATGGGTGCGTCCATAAGGCGTACTATAGTCGTTGTCGCATCGTTATATCCCCAAGGATCGGGTTCGTCGGTAGAGAGTTCATACATTTTCGCATTCTCGACGAGTTGATTTGGGCAGGTAAAGACGCCAGTTTGGTTCGTTGGTATCTCTGCGGGTAACGAATATAATTCCTGGTCGGTTGGTGACTTGTCATGGGATTCATGAAATCGTGAGGGAACCTGCGTGATCATTCTAGATAGGATGCGAAATGGTTGCGAATGTTCGTCGCTGGATGAATCGGACGAGGCAGGGGGAGGCGTAGTGGTATGATGTAGGCGCATCTCGTTCTCAGAGTCCGAGTCTTCATCCATAACATAGTCGCTATCTTCGTCCGGCCTGGTAAGCATGAATCGAGGTAAGGGTAATGGTCGTAGATGACTGGGTGCAGTATAACGTTGACTGGGAATGGCTGGAGACGGATACGGAGTGGGTGGACGTGTAGGAGGAGGAAGGGCGAGGAGTCTGGGGTCAATAGTAGTCGTTTGAGTTCCAGTAGCAGTATTCACGATCTCGAACGAATCATCGGAGCTATAGTGTAGCTCTTCGACGTCACAAGGTGTGCTGGCTTCACTAATTATCTTATCGTTCAGTGCGTGGACTTCTTCAGCAGTCTGATCTGGGCAGGCGAGCATCGTTACGATTCGACGGTGTCCCATATCTGTTTCTTCGTCCGAAATGTCTGTAATCAACATCTCGTGTTTGGCTGATTGAATCATCGCACCTACTGACAGTGAGTTCAAAACGAAATAGATCATGACGATGTACTCACGAAGTTCACTCATAGTGATTCTCTTCTCAAGATAAATCGTGGGTGGTCTGATGGTGTCAAAGATATGGCGTATTCGTTTCAGGATCTCGGGGTAGGTCAACATATCGAGCTCGTTATCGGATACACCTGATTCGCGGAGGATGATGTGCTGAACGTAGGTTAGGCCGTGGCGTAAACATACTTTTGCATGGGGCGCAGGTGCTTGGGCGGCGCGTCGCATTCCATGCTCATATTCTGAGGCTATTGTACGAGCTATATCGTCATTGTCCAATATAATTTTTGAGCCGTATAATTCATCTGCACGAGTCCTGAATGAACGCGGATACTGCATACAAGGAGAGTCGGTTTCGTTTTCGGAATTGATCTCGTCAAGGGTGACTGCCTGATCGTCTGCCTGACAGGCTTCGTCAATGAGAGTTAACGTGAGGAGGGGCGAGGTAGGCGATCTGGGTGACGGGTAGTACATGATATGCGGGTTGTCGAGCTGTTCGTCGATGGAGGAGATGTAGGGAATGTCGGTACGAGGCTCCCGGGGATCTAAGGTAGGTTCCACTATAAAATAGTGAGTTAACAGCGCAATTAAACTGGAAACACTAGACGAACCATCCTGACTCTCCGAGACGTTGGAAGATGCGTACTGAGCGCGTATACTAGCGCCTTCATTGTCTGAACCATCCAAGGAGTTGTCAGGGTACTGAAGCTCGTCGTTCTCATCTAATTCTTCATCGTCAGTGCATTCCTCTATTTCTGGCTCTTCGACGATACTAATGGTATCAAGATCTTCGGTTGGCGGGGCCGCAATGGCGTATCGTAGATATGGCGGTGACTGTGTGAGTCCAAGTGTCGAGGCAGTGGGATAATGAGCGCGAGGGTAAAGTGGATCGAATCCTCTAAGGCCAGGGTGTTGTACGAATAGATAGTAGAGGTGACCGTTTTCAATTGCAACGTTAGAGGGATCGCGGAGTGTGTGGGTAACGAACGATGTGTTAAGAAGTACGCCAGCGTTAACGTTTACTGAGTCAAGATACATTGAAGCTAATTCAATTGAGTTACTGGAGGAGATGAGGGAGAGAATACGCTCGTTTATGGGACGGTTCCCAAAGTGTCGGGCTGTCTCATCGGTCCAGTGAAGGGCGATGCGTGCGTTGTTGAAGTTGGGAGATACATAGCGAGGAAGGAATGTGGGGGATCTACCTGGGTAGACGCCGTTGGGTGCAGGAGGCCAAGAGGGAATTTGGGCGGCGATGCGTGTCAGCGCTTGCGAAGCTAGTTGGTCGTCGGCTCGATCAGTCGCGGGGTAACTTTGATGGCCAGGGACAGCGTGGATCGGACCGGAGTTCAATGCCGGCGGCACCGACGGTTCTGCCATGTGTCCTGATCGATCGTTCTGGGGAATATGACGTGGTGCGGGGTGTAAGTGATGATATAGCTGGTATATCCTCCTGATGGTCATTTTGGCTCGTTTATATATGAAATAAATCTCTATAATTCGTAGAAAAATTGTGAATACTTCGTGGCATGTATAGCTAGGCTTTACCATACTTGGTATGCAGAACAATACGGGTAAAACATCGAAAATAGCGAACTTCATCAGAAATACTACCCTGAGGACTAGATCTGTCATATTATTAAGGTAATTTTTGCCTATATTATGCAGTTCCTGTGGAGATGTGTCCATGAGTGTCGCTTTAGACATGCCCAGACATCGCGGAGGTAGGTACCAACTTCGATATATGTCATAGAATGTCGTTTCGTAGTTAACTCGGCAGATATGATTGACTGATGATCCAATACTTCCTAGAATGTCTTCCATATGTACTCTGATATGATCTGCCAAGTATTTGGCATATTCTAGAATTTTTCCAGCCACGGAATCCTCTACAATTCGCATATCGAGTCTATAGGGGTTCTCCTGCCAGGGGGTAGGGGAATATCTGGTGTCCTTTCGGGTACTACTAGGTGTCGAATTCATTGACGTAATATCTTCTAGAGGTCTGTCTGATCTTTCCATAGTTGGTAATGACTGATGGAAACTGGTTGTGTGCCTGTCTATGTGATTGAGTGCTGACGGGGATAATGAGTCTATCGGTTGTGAGTTTACTACTATATTTGTTACTAATGGAGGTACTTTGTTCTCCATTGGGACAAAATAAGGTTTGCTTCCGTTCAACAGCTGGTCAGGGTCCTCGTCAATCGGCGGAGAGACTAAGTAATCTCCGATCTCAGGGATAATAAGTTCTTCCCTAATCGGTATAATAGCTTTCACGGTGCTGGTATCCTTTATAGCAGGCTCGTCGGCTCTATTTGTTTCCATCGGTATGGTGTGACTGATAATTGCAGGCTCCGGGGTAATTCTAGCATAGGATTGCGATAAGACTGGATCAGAAATGATGTGTTCTTCGGATAACTGTAATACTCTATCCGCTCTCAGGCCTTCGGAATGACTTCGTAACACCATTTGAGCACGCTGGACTGCTTGAATAATAGTTTCGCCATGATTTCGCTGTATTTTGGATCCATTCAGATAGACAAATTTTCCATCGCCATTGCGAGTTAAGGTGCCTATTCTTATGAGTCTCATTATCTGAGCGCAAAACCGTGTCTTATGATCTGTGAGTCCACAGCCTCTGCATGGTTTCAATATAGCTACTGCTTTATCTTCCAGTGATCTATGCGGGTACGGAATATCCTGAGTCTTTTCTACATGATAGACTGATGGTTGTTCTGGAGGCTGAACTGGTAATACTGAGACTGGCTGATTCTGTTGCACTTGGTACTCTGCAGCAGGTGTGCGCACAATATTCATAATAGTTGGATCCAATTCTGCCGCTTTATGATATAACAATGCGTAGACTGGATCTGACACTGCCATACGACTCATTCTGGTCATAAGTTGGTCAACTTTATTGAGTACTGTATGTTTATCAGAGGATTCACAATTCTTGTAACTATTCTGATTATCATAACACTCATCAGCATCCAGTTCTGATTCCGATTCTGGCATATCATACCAATCTGATCTTTTCAGACTAGGTCCGACTAGGTCATGTTCAAAACGATTTCGTTCCAACAGTTCTTCAGCTATTTGAGTAACTAGTTGTAATGGATATGCCTTGTCGGCACCATAATGTGGGACATGTGCAAGAAGACGCGTTTCTATAGTCTTTTGAAATTTACGGTCAATTCCATGCCAAAAGTATCCAGCTTGCATATCTTCATTTATCAGGCCTTGGGACATAAGCCATCCAGCCTTAGTGAAGAATTCTCGTTGGTATCTTTTCCAAGTAGCAAGTTCTGATATCTTTACACTTTGCCATTTCGCTACTAGCTTTACTAACTGATCTGGCGTATACCGAGTATCATCTAGATCTGCATCGTAGTAGTGAAGAATGTCATATTCTAATTGCAACCAATCACCGTTCTGATAGCTAGCGAGTGATTCTATGAATAATTTTACTTTTCTGCTACAATATTCAAGAACACGATCACATTTATCATGAGAATCCATAAGATTATAAGCTGTACACAGACACTTATACTTTCGAATGAACTGTTTAACAGTATCATAATCACCATGAAAACATTTGGGAGCACCTTTCTCACCAAGAGTAGGCATCATATCTGGGGTTCTGTCATATCCCGTGTGATTATCATAATGATGTGGTGAATGGGACGGGGACATATAGTGGGATCCTCTAGATGAATCAACTATACGAGAGGAGTTTCTCATTGAAGAGATATCTACGAGATGTCGGGATGTGATGTGGAATGGGAATGGGGAATGCAATGGAGTAATGGATAGTAGACGGAATATTCAACAATATTTGTTGAAATGGGAATGAATAGTTCTGACAAAAGTAAAACCTCGTCCTGCAGTGGTCACCAAATTCTTGTCACACTCAGTGGGGTTTCACTGAAATGTTTTGGATGTAGTCGGATCAGTCTAGATAGATCGGACAGTCACCCAAGTTGCTGCAGGCTGAGGTGTGTTATTGAAAGAATATTCACTGGGATTCTACAAGGTAGTAGAAAGGGAAATAGGGGATGGATAGGGATAGGGGTAGAAAAAGAGTGTAGGCTAGAAGTCAATAATGGCTTCACGAGGATGAGGAAGAAGGATAGAATACTATACAGTACTAAAGATAAGTTGAAATGAAGTATGACAATAAGACTATGATGAGGAAATATTCTTTCCCTAGGATACATTGTATGACTCCGCAATGAGACAAAACTATGAAGCTCTAGATCAGACGTTTCTGCTAGATCACTTCCGAAACTGAAATAACAATAAGACACCCTGCAGAATTGTTCTACAGTCTAAATGTCCAGGTTACGACAAAACAATATGCGGTGGAATCAATACACAGGTATCCAGAATAATGTAGACACAAGCTACCAAATTACTCTGTTTGCTAGTAAAGAATGCTTTCACTGATCTGAGTACTCAATTATCAATATAATCAAGACTACTAATACAATGAGACTATACAGAAGTTCTATATAGAGGCTAGGATAAGGACAAACTTTATCCTACTATGCTGAAGGAATTCATTCTCAGGGAACAGCTAGATCAAAGAGAACTAATAAATTGAACTTCACTTCGCATTGCATTGCATTGCATTGTGTTGCATTGCGCTGCGTTGCCTATCTATCTACTACAATTTGGGGGGTATTTATACTCTACGAATACTAAGGCTGTGCAAGGATCAAGAGTAGTAGGCTGTGCAAGGCTGTGCTAAAGCTATGCCAAGGCAGTGCTAAAGCTATGCTAAGGCAGTGCTCAAAACCTATTTCATCAGTGCCGAGCCTAAAACCAAGTACTTGCTTTATAATTGCTTAGTAAGGAAGAAATCAAATTCTTCTACGTTCCAGAATATTCTTCCAAGTTCTACAGGTTACCGTATTGTCCTACAGTCTCCTATAATCTTCTTCAGCTTGTCTGAGTGAAGTGTAGTAATTGGTTGAATAATCCTGATGTAGGAGTGAAGGATAGGAGTAAAGGGAATTAAAGGGGCTTTGGAAAAGGGTAATGTAAAGTAAAATAAAGTCTATGACCATAACACAAGATCCATAGGACTTGATTCAACTTGCGAGGTGATGTCTATGGATTATAGCAGTGTATGAAGGAAGGTATAAAACACTAATATTCATGTCACTTACTACAAATCCCAATTTGGAGTATGACACCGGCAAGGGCAAAAGTAAAGAGGTCCCGTTGCCTCAGTTAAGCTCGCTTGAATCCTCTCCCTATGTAAGCTCCTACCCGCAAACTCCGCACGCGCAAGGAGTCGTGGACTTGTCGTACGATCTACTGAAGCCCACGTCACGTATGCCCGCGGGGCTGCCTCGAGCTGGAGCAAGCGTTTCTCGTCCTCCCTCTGCCTCACCCACGCCTTCCCTTCGCTCTCTTATCCCTGCTCAACCAGAGACCGTCGAATCATTGCTGTTAGGGTCGGAGCCAGAGAACTTATTCCGTGAAACGGCGGCCATGTTCAACATATTGATAGAACCCATAGCCGATTCGGTAGAACGGTGGCATGCGATCCCCGACGTACACGCGTCAGAGGATCCCTTGAAGGAGGTTGGAGGGGAGGCCGGGATAATACCCGACCAATCCGAAAGGACAGCAGCGCTAATGCGAGCTGTACTGCTGCGATGGAGGTCGCCGCATCGATTTCTAATCTGGAACGACTTATCTGCAGATTTGCCCCAGTTCCTCACCAAGGAATTCACACTAGACGCCGACACTATGATAGCAGTTCAGTCGAACGACTCAAAGGTCGTGCCGAGGTTCTGTCTGCGCGTCGCGATCCTAGAACGCATGGGGCACGTAATACTAGCCGTGCAACAGATCTTGGTCGCTTTGAGCGAGCTTCGAAGCATACCTGCCAGCCGCGCCTTCTCCATTGACCCTCAATACACATTTGTACGGTCACTCGAATACTCCCTAGACAAGGCTCGCTTAGAACTGACCTGGGAAATGCTTCTGCACCGACTGAGCCGAGCACATGACAATATTGAAGCCCAGATTCGATCCTTGCGTCGTTACTTTACTGATTCGGACGCTCGACTATCACAAGTCTCCTTCGATTCTACGTCGGAGGGCGCCTGACTCCAGTACGGTACGCAGTCCCCCCGGACGGAATTAGCTAAGTACTGGTACCCTGAGAAGCTGCGCCAGTCGCTACCATCCCACCTCCGCTCTCCCGCTGAAGAGCTCGTAGTGAATCTTAAGGCTGACGGGTATCGCGTTCCTTCCTACCGAGAACGTTCTCCTCCTCCCCTTTCTTCGGCATCATCACGACGACCCTCTCAGAAGCAAATTCAGTTCGCGCCGGTTACAGCGGTTATACCAGCGCATCCTATATCTCGCCTCCCTGGGCTCCCGTCGCCTACCTTCAAGAGTGGGGGGCCATTGTCACGACCTCCGTCCGGAGAAAGAGAGTCCTGGCGAGAACCGCCCGCGCATTTAACCTCGTCGACTCGTCCAGGCGCGGGGCAGCCCTACATCGCGTCCCCGAGGGAAAGGGAACCTGACCACCAACTCCCTAGGAGAGAGGATAACCTATTTCAACGACGGGAAAGAAGACCAGGAGGACCTCCTAGTGGTAGCAGCGATAGCTCAGACGACGATAGGCGTAGGCGTATTCCCCCTTGGCAGCCCCCCCCAGGGCCGCCTGGCGGACCACCTGACCGGGGCGATCCAGAGAACGGTGGAGGAAGAAGGCGGAGGCCTAGAAGAGCTAGCCCTCCGCGAGACCCTGACGATCCTGACGGTCCGGGTCGAGGTCCTCGCCCTGATAGTTCACCTCTACGCGCAGCTGAACGATGGCAAGTCAATCATAAGATTCCCTTAAGCTCCCTGCCCGAATGGAATGGTGATGGCAGGACTTTGATCGACTACCTAACCGACTTGGCGACCTTCAGTGACTTGGGAGAACTGATGGAGGCCGACATAGCGCAGATAGCTTCATCCCGGTTCACGGACGCAGCCAAGGACTGGTTCACTACTCTCCCCTCAGAAGTAAGGCGGATCGCGACCTCATCCTACCTCCAGTTCGTTCTCTGTATACGCGAACATTTCATGGACGCGCACTGGATAGATGAACGCACAATAGAGTACGAGGAAATGCGCTTCAGGCAGGAGGGGCACAAGCGTGAGACGCCCCTTCAGTTCGTGCAGAGACGTTTGAAATACACTAGGTTTCTGAACTCGGAAAACGACGACAACGATGTAGGCATGGTGCAGCGAGTCTTGCGCACTCAACCTGCGTGCTGGGCCATACACCTCAATGTGGAAACCTGTCGATCCGTGGTCGAGCTCATTCGTAAACTGAAAAGCATGAATGACGGCTTGATAGCAGACTGGGAAAGATCTGAGAGTCGCAGGCAGCCGCGCTCCCAGCGTTACGACAGCTCCACCCCATCGCGTCGTTACTACTCTCGAAGAATTTCGGCTCACAACGTGGAAGGGGAGGACTTAAGTGATGAATCTCGATCACCTTCGCCGACTCAAGAAGCTTTCGCCGTCGACTTCCGACGAAACGAAGAGACACGTAACAAGTGGCCTCGAGGAGGATCCTGGGACAACTACTCATTCACGCGAGATGACTCGAGGACTAGCGAACAGCCCCCTAAAGACGTGTGTTGGATCTGCACGAGTCCAAAGCATGTGCATAGGGACTGCCCGCACTTCGCGAAATGGCTCGGCATGAGGGACGCTTGGCTAGGACGGGGAAAGAATGAACGAAGAAGCGATATTCGAACGCGTGTAGCTAAGACAGTCGAAGTCGGTAATGATGACAATATCCCCCGTTCGACTCGTGCGTGCAGTAAAGAGTGATCGTCTCCATCCCTCGAATTCGAACAGGAAGATGTGTCCTTGAGCTATTCCTCTCCCTCTACCCATTCTAGCGAAACCCCTTCGACAGATGAAGACCCGCACGAGGACTTCGTAAACGAGGTGCATCTAGCCGAGAGTCTTAGCAACCCATTCGACGCGCGTAGGAATAGCAGAATCCCTTTTGATCAGCCTCATTCAGTGAGCGGCCCTAAGCTAATCCAAGCCATCAGGCGTCGTCGATTTCCGGAGGGTTGCGGGTCGGTAGGGATACGAGCCCTGCGCATGCAAGCCCGTGTTGGTTCGCCACGATCACCTATGATCGACGCGCGACTGGACTCCGGAGCAGACGTCTCTTTGATGTCAGAAGACTTCTTATCAACGCTAGACGAACCCCCAGACATCAAGGAGGGGATAAGGATGCGGCTGTATCAGTTGACCGGCTCGGCAAAAGTACTGGGTTACGTGCGCACGAAGCTACTGGTCCCGACCATCTCTGGCGACATCGTGCAATTCGAGCTGGAGGCGTATATAGTCAGAGGCATGAGGGTGCCCCTACTTTTAGGGGAGGATTTTCAGACCACTTATGAGCTTGGAGTAGCGCGAAAGGCTTCAGGACAGTGCGAAATACTCCCCCTGGATCGATCGTATCGGCTGAGCGCATCTGCGAGCGACGACAATGACTGGGGATTCAAAGACCGCAAGGCCTTTACGGGACAATCCTTCCTGAAAGGAAAGCATAGAGTACGTTCAAGATGACAAGTGCGAGGACCTCCCAAAGACGCGCCCCCCGTTCTCGCTCGTCACACTACGCATATACAACCAGGTTGCGTCGCGAATATCCTAGTAGACGGACCCTTCGAGGACCGCGAAATCTGGCTAGTGGAGAAGCTGCTCATATCAGACGAATGTAGCGAATTTATCTCGGCACTGACTACAGTAATCACGGCTAACAATCCCTACATACCCTTGGCTAACCCCACAAGTCGGCCAGTAATGGTGCGTAAGGGAGACGTAGTGGGCCACCTCTACGACCCGCAAACCTATCTGGACGCGCCGCGTGACGCGGCGACATTCGAGAAGTGGTCGTCAGCAGCTGTAGCCCTCAAGTCCATCTTGAGCACAGAGCTAGAGTCGCGGCCGCCGAAATCAAGCGAAGAAGAGTCAGAGAACTGGGGACCCAAAACAGCCGCCATCCCAGAAGAAGCTGTCAGCGAAGACGTATTGGAGGCTGTAAATCTTGGGGCCGACATACCTGAGGAGGTACGCCCGCACCTAGAGGAAGTTCTAAGGAAGAACTCCCTGGCCTTCGGCCTCGGAGGGCGATTAGGCAAAGTCGCCACGAAGGCCACGATCCCGTTGGTACAGGACGCTAAACCTATATCCCTGCCTATGTACGGCACGTCTCCAGCTAAAAAAGAGGTTATCGACGAGCAGCTCAAGAAGTGGTTCGAGAACGACGTGATCGAACCCTCGATCAGCCCTTGGGGCTTTCCTTGCTTGGTTATCTACCGGAACGGCAAGCCGCGATTATGCGTGGACTACCGGAAACTGAACGCGCTGACGGTAGCGGACGAATTCCCTATTCCAAGACAGTCGGAAATTATACAGTCGCTCTCCGGTTCCCAAGTCATCTCTTCCTTCGATGCGCTGGCCGGATTTAATCAAATGGAAATAGAGGAATCTTCGCGGCCCAAGACGGCTTTCAGGTCACATCGAGGACTATTCCAGTTCAAAAGAATGCCGTTCGGCTTGCGCAACGGGCCTTCCATATTCCAACGGTTTATGCAGGAAGTTCTGTCCCCTTTCCTATGGATATTCGCTCTCGTATACATAGATGATATTGTCGTCTACTCTCGATCCTGGGCCGAACACCTGAGGCACCTGGACGCAGTTCTCGGGGCAATCGCGAAGGCCGGCGTCACGCTAGCACCATCTAAGTGCTTCATAGGGTACTCGTCGATCCTGTTATTAGGGCAAAAAGTCTCTCGTCTAGGACTATCTACGCACAAAGAAAAGGTCGCGGCGATCATGGATCTAGCTCGTCCGAGTTCCGTGCAGGAGTTGCAGCGTTACTTGGGCATGATAGTTTACTTTTCCGCCTACATCCCTCACTACTCGCACATGGCAGCCCCCTTGTTCGCCTTGCTCAAAAAGGGAGTGAAGTGGAGTTGGCAGACCGAGCACGACATAGCGTTCCAGAATACTCGTGACGCTTTAGCCCGAGCCCCAGTCCTAGGGCACCCCGAACAAGGTTCGCCATACCGCTTGTACACCGACGCTTCGGATTACGCGCTAGGCGCTAGCCTGCAGCAGGTGCAGAGTATAAAGGTCAAGGATCTAGCCGGATCCCCGGCCTATGGACGACTGCGTCGCGCGTTTGACGCTGGAATGGACATACCCTCACTAGTGTTGAAATTGCCGGAAGGGAGCGACCGCCCTTCGGGGAAATCTCGAACCTGGGCATCCTCCTTCGACGAGACTATCGTAGACATCGAGCGAGTCATCGCGTACTGGAGTAGGACTCTTAAGCCCGCCGAACGGAATTATAGCGCCACAGAGCAAGAAGCGCTGGGTGCTAAGGAAGCTCTGGTCAAGTTCCAACCATTCATCGAAGGAGAAACTATCACCTTGATAACCGACCACGCCGCTTTGCAATGGGCTAAAGTGTATGAGAACTCCAACCGGAGGCTAGCCGCCTGGGGGGCTGTATTCGCCGCCTACCCCAAGCTAACCGTAGTACATCGACAGGGCCGCGTGCATTCAAACGTCGATCCCTTATCCCGCCTCCCGCGTATTCCACCGCATACGTCTCCCACGCAGGACACCATCGATGCTATCATCCCAGACGAAGATAAGCAACGATTAGCTCAGAACGCCGAGGGCAGGAAAAACGCGGCAAGCAAGGCGGCCTTCTCCTCCTGGTGGCTTCACGAGGCTCTAGACGACCGGCAAGAGGAGACGGAAGAAAGGAGAAGAGACGTCTACGCTGTTCAGACCCGACGGATGGCGAAAACTAGTAAAGCGTTGCCCACTATTTCATGATCGGTGGAAAGTACAGGTCGCGCTACGAGGACTCCCGTACAGGACGCGCCCTCGCAGGGCTCCAGCTCACCCTTTCCTTGTGAATGGGACGGAGCCTACGAGGATTTAGTCAACTATTGGACTTATCCAGAGGGGATCCGTCCTCCTGAGTTCGTCGATGAGGAAATGCTCTCGAAAGCGCATCTTTTAGTGGCATTTACGCCGAAAGCTCTAGAAGAATGGAAAGAATCCTATGCCAAAGACACGTACTTTAAAGAGAAATTCGAGGCGTCTGAGCTGAGAGATCCGGAGAAGCTCCTTACACCCTCGCGATTCAGGAAAGGAGCGAACGAGCTGCTCTACTTCGTGGACGCGGACTGGCGCTACAGGCTATGTGTACCGCAGGGGCAGGTTCCTTTCGTGCTTAGACAGATTCACGAATCATCGTACGAGAGTGCTCATGAAGGCGCCAGGAAGTTCGCGAGCAGACTCAGGGAATTATTCTTCTGGCCTAATCTAGTCAAGGATGCCACGGAGTACGCGCGATCGTGTGACGTCTGCCAGAAGACCAAGGTAGACCGTACTAGGAAGATGGGGGGCCTACGCCCAGCACATGTACCGGCCTATCCGTACGAAACGGTATCACTCGACCTCATTACGGGTCTGCCGGCGTCAGGCGAGGAAATGTTCACGGCCGTACTGGTTATAGTCGACAAATTGACCAAGTTCGCATTATTCCTACCGACACACGACACGCTCGATCAACAAGGTTTCGCCAGAATGTTCGTCAAACACGTAGTTAACGTGTATGGGCTGCCGACGCGAGTAATATGTGATCGCGACAAGCGCTGGACCTCCGCGTTCTGGCGGTCAGTCGTAGCACGCTATGGCTGCCACTTGGCGCTATCCTCGGCGCATCACCCCCAAACAGACGGCCAGACGGAGGTGCTCAATGCAACGTTGGAAACGATGTTGCGGGCATACGTAGCTAAGGATAGGTCCGCCTGGTCCGATTACCTGAGCGACCTAGCGTTCGCGTACAACTCTTCAGTGCACTCGTCCACGGGGCATCGACCAGATTTTCTGTTACTAGGCTATAAACCGCGGCAGTCAGCCGCCTTGTTGGTCCCCAACCGCGACGACGCCAATCGCCCTTTCCTTCCTAGCCAGCGGGCAGAGGAATTCACGCAGAATTTGGAAGAATTCCGCGCCGCCGCCCGAGATGCCTTAATTCTAGCTCAGGAAAAGCAAGCCCGCGCGTTTAATGCGAAGCGGTGACCCGTGGAGTCTATACAGCCGGGCGACCTAGTACTAGTCAACCCGCATACCTTGCAGCTCGTAGAAGCCGAAGGCACAGGGCGAAAGCTGATACAGCGCATGATTGGACCATTCGAAGTCATAGAAAGGATTAATCCACTGGTCTACCGACTACGGTTGCCCGCTAACTACCCTATGCACCCCGTAATCAATCTATCACATCTCAAGCGCTACACCCCGTCAGAACATCGATTCGGCGAACGCGGCCAGCTCCCCGCTACTCGAGACTTACTGCCAGCAACCGAAGAATGGGAAGTTGAGGCTATCCTAGGTCACAAAATTTCCTCGCGAAAGACGGGACGGAAACGCCTCTACCTAGTGAGATGGAAGGGTCTCGACGCTACCAAGGATTCATGGCTGTCTGAACACGAACTCCGCAACGCGCCTGAGCTCAGGAGAGAATATTTGCGCAGCATAGAAGCCCCTAAAGGGCGCGCTAAGCGGAACACGTGATAGTCGTCCCTCTACGTTCATCACAATCGCATCTGTTATCGGTACCACTCTTTACCACTCTTTAGACATGAACATAGACTCGCGCCGTTTCCTTTCACCGAGATTGATGCCGAATGCGGGGTATTCAGACGATCCAGGTCCTATTCCCTTTCTTTCTAAGCTTATCATTCCGGGGGACTATCCTAAAGTGGCCCGAGACGTCACGATCGCAGGAAGGCGTTTCGAAATTTGGTCCCCTAACTCAAGGAGACTGCCGTTCTACCCTGGCATCAAGGCCCCCGGAGTAGATTTGGAGGATCTAGCTAAAGGGAAAAGGCGATACGATGGGCATCTAGGACCACTGGACCCGACCTACCATCCGCAGCACTATCAGCCGCGTCGACCTTATCTCCCGTTCATACGACGGCATAGTCACCTGAATCCGTCTAGTCTCTTTCCCGAATTTGTGTCGCTCTTCGATAACTCCGAAGCGTGGAGCCCTCTCGCGGGATCGGTAACAGGAGAAGGGCGTATCACCGAGTCGTACGTGAAGCGACTGAAGAAGCGTAACACGTCACTCCTCCAGGATGCGAAACTCTTGAGGGACGGTCTGCGAGAGTCATACTCCGAAAGAGACCGGCTTTTGTGGCAGAACCACCCTCTGTACCCCAGCAACATGCATATTGAAGCACTCCTAGACATTGTATCGTTCGAAGAGGCACTGGACACCGTTACCGAGATGCAGAGAGGCATTAAAATGCGGGAAGCATGGATTAACTATGTACGGCTCAAGAATCTAGCCCCATGGGACCCAGCAGACCTCGCATATGCCTTCGCCGTGGAAGGGAATGAACAGTACATGGGTATATGGATGTCCGACGAAGCGTATGAAGATGCGCTACTCTACATGACACGATCAGGAGTCGCTTGCTTCTTCCTGCACGAATATACCGCACAGGAAGCAACTTTCCATCATCGCACGCACGCGTACTATCCCGACGCCGCCATGCAAAACTACGTGCTTGTATCAGACGAGGACGGTCCCTGGCGGTATGCCGTGAGACGATCGAAGCTGCGTGCTCTGGCATTGGAAGAAGGGGAATCCGTAGGACGTGTAAAAAGGTTGCCGCACTCATTCCCAGCGCCGGGATCCCTCTCGCTATCTAATCGGCAGGGCTATCGATTGCCTTCATTGCGTGACGAGCGTCCGCTGCCAGCCGCGAAAGAATTAGCAGAGCTAGCTTCGCGCCCGCGGACGCCAGTGAAATTCTGGCACGACATGGACGGGCTGGAAGCAGATGCGCCGCGAGTCGCAAGTCTACCAGTAGTCCGGGTCCCGCGCAATGAGCGGAAGCCTTCGGGAGAAGCAGAGGCGTCTGAACCTGTAATTGCCCCTTTGGTTAGTAATCGGAAAGGGAAAGGCAAAAGGCGCGAATCGACCTCACCATTGCCCGACTACGAGTCGAAATCGGAAGCCGAACCTGCTGTTGCCTCGGCGATAGCGACAACTGTCGCTCGCGAGCTCGAAGCATCGGTGCACGCGGCCCAAGGAGCATCGATGTCACGAGTGGATGTCGTCTCAGAGGCGCAGTCCCCGAACTTCTCTGCGGCCGTCTCAGACAGAGCTAAGGAGCTCTATGCCGCCTACACTAGAGTGATCTCGGAATTCTGGAGGATCGACAGCTTGCCACGCGACGTGACGACCCCCAAGGAGCTTCTGAAGCTGCTCCAAGAAACTTCGAAAGAGATTCCCTTCGCTATTCCGCAAATGCTTCGAACATGGAAGGAGCGTCGGGACGTATACTGGGTACGGTTTGGCGATAGGGACCAAGCGCTGCGCGTAAGGGGCTACTTGTCGCGCGCCAGCGTCTCTGGGGCAGACGGCTGTGACGGTCCTCTAGTGACCGAATCTACATACCTCCTGGCAATGGAAGAAGTCCGCGAGCCAGAGGAGCGACCTGCTTCGCCGACTGGATATTGGAATCTCCCCATAGATCTCGACCCGCGATTCCGTGAACACTCCGAATCTTTAACGAAGGCTGAACCTCAGACGCAATCCGCGCAATACGTCGAAGCGGTCCAGCCAAATTATCAAAGAAAATTAATTACCCCAGACCACACTGGCGCGAGCCAACGTTCGCCGCCTTCACCCAGCGCGACGCGTTCGCGCAAGAAAACTCGCATCAATTCGCCGCCGCGACAGTTTGTCGCCTCCCGCTCTACAAGAGCCATCCAAGTAACTACCGCTTCCGCGCCAGCACAAAAGCACAAATCACTATCCGAAAGAATCACCTCAGATGCACCTTCTCACCAAGAACCCAACGAACAAACACGCCAGAAAGGCTCCGAAAGCCGTTACTCTCATAACCGACCACGGTATCATCGCCGTTAACTCTCGAATTCCCTAGGGAAAACTTTTTTCCTTTCTTTCTTTCTTTTTCTTCTTTTCTCTCTCTCTCTCTCTCTCTCTCTTATCTTTCCGTGCCACCTACCGCTGCCGAATTTCCGTCGAACTCCATTTTCTTGCTTAGACTTCCTCTTACAATATATTCTATACATACAATCGTGATAGCGACTGGGGGGCACTGTGACGAGGATACACTTACCCTATTTAGAAGTAGCTATCACGCTAGTATACTTAGTATGGTAGCGGAGCCCCAAAAATATATACTTACTCTTCCTGACCATCTTGCGTACTCGACCTCGCCCGTCCCCGAGCGGGTCAACCCTCCCCGTAGCCCGGGTGACAGGCGATCCCCATTCCTAGGGTTACTGGAGCCTCAGCCAGGCACACAGGCTCCTTGCTGTACGATTTGACATTCACACGGAAGGTCGTTACACCCGTGGTCAAACTCTCTCCCTTCGTTCCGGACCCCATCTCGGGTAGACGCCCTGTCGCTCCGCCACCTCCGCAGCTCGTTGACAGAGAAGAGGAGCATGAGGTAGAAGAGGTCCGGAATAGCAGACGGTTTGGTCGGGTCCTGAAGTATCTGGTGCGCTGGCGAGGCTACGGTATTGAGCACGACTCCTGGGAGCCCGCGAGCAACCCCCGGAAGGTCAAGGACTTCCATGATCGTCATCCGGACGCAGTACGCGTACTCTGGACAAGTCCGATGAGTCCGACGACTGCTCTACCTCTCCGGATGACTCCTGCAGCACTGGACCAGTCCTGGGAGCGTTGGCGCAGTCGGAAGGCTCCGGGCTCTGCGCAGTCATACTTCGACATCTTCTCGCAGCAATCCGGAGTTTCGGGGTTGGTGAATTCATGGCACGGCAGGCAGGAATCTTCGCGTCGGGTCGCCGCAACCTTGAAGGGGGGGGTGATGTAAGGGGACACTCCTATTTTCTCCCATTCCCCTGTCCCCCTCCCTTCCTCCTCGTTCCTTTCTCTCTTCCTTCATCCCACGGACTCTTACATATATCCCCTTTGTTCCCTTTCCTTTCCACTTCCTTTCCACTCGCTCCTTTTGCATCCGAGCCACATCCGGTGACTCTGACGCCTTCCTGCACTTCAGACTCACCTCGGACTCGCTCGGACACTCTGGACTCGCTCGGACTCGTAGATACACTCCGGGGCTCGTCCGGGCTACCTCCATCCTCCTTTCCCACTTTGTTATTCCTTGTTCCCACTTCCCCAGGTCGCTGGCACGACTCCTGTACATTCCCCTTCCACTTCGTTATCACATGCCCCCCCTCGTACCTTGTGATATTCGTTTGGACCTGTGGCTGGTGTACTGTACAGTTACCCTTCATTCCTCCCACGCTACTACAGTATATACTTCGCTTCCTAGCATGGAGAATCCTTATCCTGTTCTCTTTGGATTCTCCCTCTGCTAGGTGAGCAGCTCTCTCATGTATTGTAGTTAGTCTTATTCATTACTTTGGATTCTCCCTCTGCTAGGCTTGCACTGTGCGGCCATCTTGAGGTTGCCCTTACAGTAGTAGTGTGAGAGGAATGAAGGATGACTGTACAGTACACCAGCCACAAGTCCAAACGAATATCACAAGGTACAAGGGGGCATGTGATAATGAAGTGGAAGGGGAATGTACAGGAGTCGTGCCAGCGACCTGGGGAAGTGGGAACAAGGAATAACAAAGTGGGAAAGGAGGATGGAGGTAGCCCGGACGAGCCCCGGAGTGTATCTACGAGTCCGAGCGAGTCCAGAGTGTCCGAGCGAGTCCGAGGTGAGTCTGAAGTGCAGGAAGGCGTCGGAGTCACCGGACATGGCTCAGATGCGAAGGGAGCGAGTGGAAGGGAAGTGGAAAGGAGAGGGAAGAAAGGGGATGTATGTAATAGTCCGTGGGATGAAGGAAAAGAGAAAGGAACAAGGAGGAAGGGACAGGGGGATAGGAGAAAATAGGAGTGTCCCCTTACAGCATCAGTATCGCCGAGCAGGGAAGTTCTTGGTCTAAAAGCAGACAACAAATTTCAAAACGAGGCCTGATACATAGCACATGCAAGCAAGAATCACTCTACCATATCTCCGGCTGTCTTCAGAATATGACCATTGCTGTTGGTTTGCTGATGATTGTGCCAAGGGTTCAATCAGCGCCCTTACAACACCCAGCAGTGCGACTAAATACAACTCAGCACGATAAAGTTAGATCTCAGCGAGCCACCGACCTCTCAGGAACCTTTCCAACTGTCCACAGATGTTTACTTGATACAAAACAAATACGGAAGCGATGCAATGAACGACGGTAAAGAAACAGGGGTATACATGAGCCCTCTTGGGGACGCCTAATGCAGATTGACGAATGTGTGGTGTATGTGTTAGCCAATATGGATGGTTCAATAATGACAATGAAAGGAATGTGGGTCACTGGTGCCAGCCAGGGGATGATAAGCGCATAAGATAGCGCAACAATGGGGGTGACGACGGCCGCATTAAGAGTCAGATAATTGCCCTACAAGGGAATCAGGAATTGATGGCGTAGGATGAAAATGTGATGGCAAAAAGAGTGACGGCAGCCTCAATAGGAGGCGAGGTGTAGAGGTTGACTTGATGATAATGTGATGGCAAAAGCGGTGTGACAGAGGCGGAAGAATATAGACTGAAGGTTTATTGTGTATTGTGGGTGGCGTTACGGGTCGGGGCTGTGTTCGGGCTAGCGTTTGAGTGCGGTGGAACGCAGGAGTCTCGACGCGGAGAACGAAATATATAATATGATTATGGTTGGTAGGATGGAGGGCCTGCGTCAACGGAGGGACCCAGGTCAGTGGAATGGAGACACTGCTGATCAAAAGCAGGTGGATTAGCTTTCCGCGTTGTATACCACGTCAAGATATAGGACCTACAGTCGGGGTTGCTTCTGATCCGGCGCAAGCTGAAAACATGCCAGTGTGGTCAAGAGAAGGGGTGTTATCTGTGTTGCGATGTGGTGGTAATGCTGGCCCTGCGAATCTGAGAGGCACAAGCATCAGGAAAAGCCCTGTAGCTTTGAGGACAACAAAAGCTTGTCAGACAAATGATCATTTGGAGAAGCCTGCCAGAGAAGCTCAAAGTAGATCAAACCAGTATCTGTGGCTTTGAGAACAGGGGCTAGCCCCTTGTAAGCTTTGAATGTCTTCTACTGGCTTTCATTGTCTTTAGCCTCCCAACTCATGGTAACCAGTCCCCCAAAGGATAATCAGTCTTAGTATTTGTACACACATTGATCTTCCTGTAACTTTCTTGGTCCCCCTTTTGGTCAAGTCTTTATTAGGTGGTTCTTTTTTTGGCTTTATCCATCTTCTGAGTGTATTCTCACAGAAGGAAGTAACCTGATGACTTTTCTTTTCTTTTCTCAGCTTCTTGTATCAAGATGGATATCATTACTACTACTCCATGAATGTATAGATAGAATAGTACAAGTGCTACCAAATTGACTGATAAGCAAAGTTTGTACTGAAGTTATTAATAATCAAAGGAATGTCCTGGTCTAGAACAGTATCAGAAGTGAAGGAAGTATCGTCAATGGCATCCCATTTTGGGGTCAGCATGCAGCTCTGTCTGATGGTAGAAAGTGGAACAATGCCTCCCAATCTCCCAAAGCTTTTGCCTCCGGTTGTCCGTTGCTGAGGATGAACTTGATAGAAAAGTGTAGTTGGATTGGGGCCTGAAGGAGGCGAGTACCATTCCACATAGGCCAAAGGCTCTTTGGGCCAGAAGGCAGGCGACGAGATTGTTGTACCTTTGGCAGAGATGGTGGAAGGCAAGGCAAAGATAACCTTGACTCGAGCAATCTTAGTACCTGGCAGGCCCGTGGACTCAGCCTGTGCAGTGGACAAAACAATGGCAGGGTCAAAGCGCCCATGAGGAGGATGGTCAGTTGCAGGAATGGCCTTTATATGATCCTTCTCCTCCACAGCATCATCAGCGATCCCCTCATGAACCATTCTGACCATGTGCCAAACATTAAGGGTATCAAAGGGCAGTGCCAGGTCTGGCACAGTTGATTTAGGCTTTCTTGAACCTCTGGGGGCCAGACTGTTCAGATAATCCCGTAGGTGGTAGGTAAAGTTTGGAGATCGGTGCTGCTGGATGATGAAATCCATGGATCTGGAAGCGTTTGGAAATTTTGCAAGAGAGATGGCAAGTGTAGGTTTTTTATCTTTGGATGGGAATGTGACGATCTCCTTAACGTAGTTATCGAACACCTGTAGTTTTTCCTGCCTTGAGAGCCAGTCGATCATTTGGGGAAATTCATTGCGTTTATTGCTGGCTCTCCAGGCCTCCTTGGCAAAATCTATATGCAGGCGCTCGAACATCTCTGTGTTGTAGTTGTCGGTGGTGCCAAATCTCTTGATTGATTCCACATAATGGGTCATGGAATGATATTTGGGAATGTTGAAGTGTTCTCGACAGCCAATCTCTATGAAGATTTGCCTGTGGTCATGAAAGCCCTGTAGAGCGTCTTGAAGATATTGTAGAGTGTCGTCGTCATGGGTCTGGTACTGGGCAAGGTAGATGAAATCAAGGAGGTGACGTGCCGCAAGTAACGCTTCCTTGGACATTTTGCCAAGCAAGCATGCGAGAAGGATTCGGCCAATGCTTTTGTGTTCTGAACCAGAAACCTGGGACAACACTGAGATGCCCTTGCCAAAGTGACGTACTCCGTAGCAAGGAGGTAGCTTTTGCATTCGACGATCCAGCTCCTTCTCTGACATAGCAGATTGGCACCATTCCGTCAGCATGCTCAGCACCCCTTGGTACAACTGGTGCAATACGTCTGGTGTGATGGCCATATGAATATCTGCGTAGGGAAAGCCCTTCCAGAAGGGCTCATACACCCCTCCGGCAACCTTCATCTGTAAGCAGTAGTCGTGAAACTGCCTCCCTCCGGGGGTGGATTTCTCAGCATCCGCCAGTCTCTCCAGAGTCCACTGAGAAGTACGATCGGCCGACTTTTCAAGGGACTGAAGTTCCTGCTGCTCGGCTTGGCACTTCGGGCATGTTGTATTCTTTGCACATGCTAGCAGGCATTGTTCAGGGTAGTCCGCGACATAGGAAGCCAGAATAGGGAAGACTCTGCGAACGTCTCCTTTTCCATCAGTCATCTTCACTCCCTTGGTGCCAGCTTCGATGAGAGGAGAAAGAATGTGGCGCATAGAGTCGTGAAATAGCCTCTGCCCTCGACACTTGAGTTCTTTTTTGGTGAGGCCATCAGGATTAATTTTATCGGGGGAAAGGTAACCCAGGAGAATGCATGCATGTCGAGTGGGCTTTCGGCGGATGGCCTTGGGAATGTTGCCAATAGTTAGATAAACAGGATATGCAGATTTACTCCCAGAAAACTGGGTGAGATGAGTTTTGTCCGTAGCGATGATGACTGAAGCGATCGTGGCTCCCTTCGCCAGTTTCCCCTGCCAGAAGGGAAGATATTTAGTTTTAATCTGTGTCCCAAAATGCGCATAAAAGTTCATACCTGCAATGTGTTCCACCAGTTACCGGTCCACATCTCTGAGTACACCCTTTCCTTCCTGCTCATGTTGGAGTAGACCTTACAAGGGGCAAAGACAAGGTCGTTACTGAGAGAAGGATCTGCCCAGAGACTTTTGATGACCTCGATGGGATTTCGGTATCGTATGATGAACTTCTCGTTTGGGCGATCAGGGTAGCGCAGGATTTTGGCCTTCCACCGGCCACTCCTCTCAGGAATGTCATCAAGAGTTTTGTGAATTTGTCGAACGTTCTTGAAGGACAAACCCAGCTTTTCCACCACCCCAGGTATCTTCAGCAGCCTGTCAAAAGCAGCGTGCCCAGGGTCCTCCTTCACAAACCACTTGGCAATTTGCCAATCCAGCTCAGATGCAAAGGGAAGATAGGGATTTGGTGTATCACCATCG